AATTACTCCATAATATAGTTATCACCAATGAAAAGTTATAGAAGAACCACAAGAAATAATATTAAGAAGATCTCATAAAGTTAAGAGATTTGTCATTTCGAATGATTATGTGGTATATCTATAATAATCTTATTATAATATTGGGATAAATAAAGGCTCAATTTTGTTGTCACAAGCCATGAAAAGTATTAATTCTACTAAATGAATTGATGTCTTGAACGATGAGTTGAAACCAATGGACCAGAATGAAATTTTGGATTTCATTGAATTGCCTAAGGATACAAAAATATTTATTGTTTTAAGGGCAACATAAAATGATATAATACTAGATATGTGGCCATAGATTTTACTTAGAAAGTAGACATTGATTACAATGAGATATTCCTTTTTCACTTGTATCTTAAAGGGCTGATTTAGAATCATTAAGACATTAGTAACTCATTATGTGAAAATTAATTTTCTAAAAGAGAGTTTAGATCAAGAATTTTGTGTAGATCAACTCAAAGGTTTCTCTATTGAGGAAAATGAAATGTAACTTTCAAACTTAACAAATCAATTTATGGATTTAAACAATTTTTTTAAATATTGTATCTTAAATTTTATGATATTATTTTTTCTTTGGATTTAAAGAAAATATTTTTGATTAGTATACATATCCAAAAATCAGTGGGATCAAGTTTATATTTATAATTTTGTATGTTGATGATATTTTACTTGTCAATAATGTACGTGATTTATTGCATGAATTAATAAATTTTTTCTTGAAGAACTTTGAAATGAAATATATTAATGAGACAACCTATGTGATAGAAATTGAAATATTTCTTAATGAATCATATGAATTATTGAGATTGTCTCAGAAAGTATATATTAAAAGTTCTATAGAGATTTTTGTATTAAAGAATATTCACATAAAGTTATCCATATTTCGAAAGAAAATAAATCCAGCCTTACGCAAAAATTTCTATAAAATCAATTGGAATGGAAACGATTCTTTATACATTTATTGTAAGAAACTTAATACTCAAATAAGGAAGTGTTAAGGTAATCATAAGGAATAAAAGACTACTTGCTCACATTTATGAGGTCTGATAATCTTGAATTGATTGGTTACTTAGATTTAGACTTTAGATGATATATTGATAGTAGAAAGTTCACTTTTGATTATTTGTTCTTATTATGTGAAGAAGAAATATCATGAAAAGTGTGAAATGAATTATAATAAGGAATAATGCTTGAGAGCTCGAAAATGAGCCCCCTAATCCCCTAATGCCCAAAACGACGTCGTTTTGGGCATTAGGCTTTTTTTTTTTTTATTTTCGAGCTCTCAAGCATTATTCCTTATTATAATTCATTTCACACTTTTCATGATATTTCTTCTTCACATAATAAGAACAAATAATCAAAAGTGAACTTTCTACTATCAATATATCATCTAAAGTCTAAATCTAAGTAACCAATCAATTCAAGATTATCAGACCTCATAAATGTGAGCAAGTAGTCTTTTATTCCTTATGATTACCTTAACACTTCCTTATTTGAGTATTAAGTTTCTTACAATAAATGTATAAAGAATCGTTTCCATTCCAATTGATTTTAAAAAAAAAAAAATGGAATTCGGGGCATTCGGGGGAGCTCAGATTCGAGCTCCCTAGCACGACCCTTATAATAAGGCCTCATTTGGCAAGTAGCTGTTTTACCCTAAAAGTCAAAAAAGTACTAAAAAAATCAAAAAGTCTATAAGCTATATAAAAAAGTCAAAGATTCCCTTTTCTTTCTACTTTTTGCACATCTTTTCATAAAAAGTCAAAAAGTCACCACAAACATACTAATTTTTTTTACCTCATATTTTAGCCAAAAATTCAAAAAGTTACTAAAATAGCCTGTTCCCAAATAAGGCCTTAGTATCTCCCATGAAAGTTGAATTTGTGGTGTGCTTTGAGAGCATAATTCATATGAATTGTTATTACGGAACTTTGTCTCAAGACTTGGGATTGTCGACTTTTGTTGCCAAGTTGTTGAGAATTTATTGCGATAATTTTGCAATTATTTTATTTTCTTAGAATGACAAGTATTCTAATGATGCTAAACACATAGAATTGAAATACTTTGTCGTTAAAGAAGAATTTTAAAAACAGAAAGTGTCAATAAAACACGTAAGTACATAATTTTTAAGTGCATATCTATTGATAAAGGGATTATTTTTAAAGACAATTAAGAAACTTGCCAATTGAATAGGTCTTGAATGTAATCCATAATAGTTGTTTATGATTAATTGTGTTATTTGACATATTGAGATCTCATTAACTACGTTTCTGTTATATTTCTTGTTGTAAATGGTGTACGTACATATATGAGAATGAATGAATGATAACATGAATAGTTTTTGATGAAAAGAAATTATTGAACCTTTTAAATATATTCCTCACTTAAGGACTTTATTAAACTAGTTGCCAGTGTTGTGGTACATGGAATGGACTATGTCGCACTATTGGTGTAGAATTGCCATGACTTGCATTAGTGAACTATTGAATTATAGTATTATGATGATGACCAAATTAAAGTAAGGTTGAATATGATTTATTGCGAGCCTAATGTTTATCTTATTAAATATTGATGTATGTTATCATATGGGCCAAGTGGGAGTCATTATAGTGAACCACGTGACAATATGAATTATAGATTTAATAAGATTATAGTTTCATATCTTGAACCATAAGTTATTATCTGATTGGTCAATACATGGAGTAGTTTCCAAGTCTCCTACTTTGATGGGCAAGTGGAATTATAGCTATATTAGGAAACTAGTCTTCTCTCTACCTACAAAAGTATATTCAGATTCCCATCAATTATTTAGAATATAAACGTATTCTAAAGAGGGTCAAGAGAGGGAAACATCTTTCAACTAATATTGATATTAGGTTTATGTTTAATCAATTTTGAATCACTCGAAAGTTTCGCATAATAGATCCGGGTATGTCATTTATTTTCCTCATTATGTTATTATTTGCGAAAATCATGATAGTTCACGATTTTGGATTATGAAAATTGTTATATGCATAACACCATAAAATTATTTACATTATGGTTACACTTAATGAAATTTTATTTTCATGACAATTGTACCTTAAAATAAAATTACTAAAATAAACATCACAGACTTACAATATTATATCATAATTTTCTCTGTATACATCTTTTTAAAACAAAAAAAAATCTTAATGTACTGTGATTTCATCTGAAAATGTCGTCGGTAGCTCATGAAGACGGCGTCGAGCAGCGGTGCTACAATAGTGGATGTGTCGGAAACTATAGGGAGGGGAAGAAATAAAGTAAAGAAGAAACTCGTGATAGTCTTTCAGAACAGTTTTCCGAGTTTGCATCAAATCAATCAAAAATGGATGGCATAGCTTCGCTTGTAGTTTCTCAATCATCTTGTATGTAGTGCTGGCTTCTGTATTATCTGAACACTGTCAAAGACAACTTTCCAAAGAAAAATTATCAACTTTACTTCTTATAAGCTGAAACCTTTTTCCAAAAGAACAATATTCATTTTGAACAATATTCAAGGACCCTCTAGCAAAATTGTAGGTACAAAGATCGGTCTTGGTGGCGAAGGAGCTCATGGTCAAACGAAGATTCTTGATGATGGAGAAGTTCAGGGGTTGTTTGGCATACCCATTTAAGGCATTCATCAGTTTGGGAGCCCTTTGGTAGCAAAGAAATTGAGAAGAAGATTAAGGATGGGTAAAAGGGGTAAAGGCGTGTAGAAGAAGGATTTAGATGACGTGTGTACAAAGTATATGAGTTAGGGTATAATCAGAATATCAAGTATGTGAAATGAGAAAAATAATCAAATCTAAATTAATGTGTACTGAGAAATGATGTGCACAAAGATAAATATGTGTCTAAAAATAGAATTTCCCGTGTTTGTCTGCTTAATAATATTAGGAAGTACCAACCAAGCATATTAACTAGACACAATATCAAGTGATATACCCGCATATATAAGCTTGTGTCTTAGGTGATATGTTTGTTGGTGTTTCTAATATTACCGTTGTTTATTTGTGTATTTTAATTTTTATTTTGCAAGTGTGTGTTTGTATGTGCCCTTGTGCACACTTATGTGTTATTCATAAAATAAGTTTGGGTGGTGCTTCAAATTAATAATTTATTGGTCTAAATAATAAGATTTATTATTTTTGTGTTAATATTTTATATTTTACGACACAAATTCTCCATTCCAAGAGCAAATAAGAACATCTCTAATGAGATAATTAAATTTGTGTGTTAATTAACAAAAAAGTAAAGATGAGATGTAATTTTGTATTAACTATTTATTAATTTAGAGAGTAAATGAGTGTTCCAATAATTTAATTAAAATAAGTGTTAAGTTGATATAAAATCAAAAAGAATTGACAGCCGTCCCTCTCTCTCTTTATATGAACAAGCCAACATGAAAAATAAATATTCATGTTATGTTAGCTTGCTGTTAATGAGCCAATGTGAAAAATGTAAGAAGATTATCTAGTTTTTGTGTATGAATGGTGTGGATGAAGGTAGGAAATAAATTTTAATTAATCCTAACTTTTATCTTATATATGAAATGATTAGGTAGAATCAAATTTACTTTAATAATATTTGTAATAGACTAATTACATGAAGATATGTAAACATAAATAGGATTTTTATACAATATATATAGAAAAAAAAATGATAAATTTTGTTACTTGTTTTTCCTAAACAAATTATTCATTACATTAGTTGAAGATCAAAGCACAATCCAAATGGATAAGTCTAACATGATCCTGCCTTGAAGATATTTCTCCTACTTAAAAAATAAAAATAAAAAATAAAACAAAATCACTTCTTTCTTGTATGGCTGGCTAATCAAGATTTGGGCTTGGGCCATCTTGACAATTCAATTTCCTACAGGGACTAGTATTTTTTTTTTAATTTTTACAACATGGTCTTTTATTTATCAGCCAGCCCGTTTGGAAAAATCCTGAATAATAGATGGGAAAATAGAGAGAGAGAGAATGAGTAGTAGCCAGTGGCAGTGAGGAAGATAATACTAATAATGTTGATAACGGTGAGAGAGGTTTGTTGTTGTTGTTCTTCTTCTACCTCTTTTGGGTCCCTTGGCTTCAAACAGTCTTCTTCAAGGCTACCAAACTCAATCTGCAGAGGCAGTCTTGCTGTTCCTGTTCGGAGAAAACCCACCGCCGGTGTCCCAACATGGAACCTTGGCCTTCGCTCCAACGCCAACAGGTATGTATGTATGTATGTATGTATTTCACTTCTCTCTTTCAAATTCGATCGATTGTCTCAACCCAATTGGATTTCTGATATCTTCTTGCAAATCCCTCTCTTCTTGCCCTCTGTTTTCTTGGAATTTCTGCCTTCTTGACTTCGCTTTGTTTGATTTTTATGTGTGTTCTTTATGCTGAGTTATTATACTCTCAATCTTTTGAAATCTAAGCACCTTTTGAAGTTACTTATTTCTTCTTTTGCTTACAATCTGGAAATGGTTGTTATGATAAAATTGATTTTTGTAAATTGGTGATACTTTTGTACATAGGTCAAAATGGTATGTAAACTTCTTGAGAGCACAACTTGGTTAGGAGAGAAAACATAAACAATCCTTGGTGAAATTCAGTACCCAAATCTGCCAATTCGAAGTTGTTTGGAGTTGAAGCACAATGTAAAATACCACCTCAAGTAATTAGATGTAACAGCGTCACACCTTTCCCTCCTTCCTATTTTCGTTTCTTTTCAATCAAACAAGTACAAGGAAACCCATAGCTGCTTCCCTAGGGTCCTATTTCCATTCTCTCCAGTTGTTCATCTTTCTCACCAAACATAGCAATTCTAACACCAACACAGAGAGCTGTGTGGTGGTTTCAATAGAGAGACACCTAATGATGACAGGAAATGCTAAATTTGTTCAATTCATGGGGTGGAAACCATTGACTAGAAGAGTGAGAAATCATGTCCAATTCATTGCTTATCCTATAAATAAGATAATTTCCAAAGATTACACAATAATGGTGATGAATTGTTATAGTAATACACCTGAGGGTGTTACTAGAGGTAGAAATTTCATATGTAAGTGTAAATTTGAGATTGTGAGAAACTTGAAAAATTCTACACTTTGATGACAATGGAGACATGTGATGTGGTAGTACGTCACTAAGACTCTTAGCAAAGGGCTGCTTACAATTGGTTTTTTGGTAGACTAGGGTTATGGAAAGCCTGTGTATTTAGGGTTTTAATATGTATGTTTTAATATGTAGAAGAAGGGTTATAGGCTTTAGAGATTGAAAAGAGTGGGAATAATCTTTGTTTCCAAACAATTTATCCAAAAAAAAAAAACAAAAAATCATTGTTTCCAAACAAACAGGTTGTTGGGTTTTCAGAGAAAAAAATGTGGGTGTTTGGCAAGAAAAATATTAGCATTTTTGAGGCTAAAATCTATAAAAAGACAAAATAGGCTCAAATAGTTAATAAGACAAACTGTCACATTAAATCCATAATCGTTTCACTTTTTTTCTTACAAACTTAGGTCTCGTTTGGGAACAGGCTAATTTAGTAACTTTTTGGCTATTTGGCTAAAATATGAGCAAAAAAAAACTAGTATATTTGGGATGACTTTTTGACTTTTTACGAAAAGATGTGCAAAAAGTAGAGAAAAGAGAATTTTGGCTTTTTGGTATGGATTGTTGCCTTTTGGCTAATTTAGTAACTTTTTGGCTTTTTGGCTAAAAGGGAGGGTTCCCAAACGAGGCCTTAGTTGCAGGAATCGTGCAACTAGGTGGCAATTCTGAGTAAGAATCGTGATTTCGCGTTTCCCTAGAGAGAAACGTGTAAGAATTGCGTTTTTGTGGAGAGAGAAAAGTGATTCAGTCCAAGATGGGATCGTAAAGGGGAGAGAGAGAGAGAGAGAGAGAGAGATAGAAACCTGGTCTCACTGACTTCGACCTTCGCTCTAGCCCTAGCCCTAGCCTTCAACGTCAACCTTTGCTCTAGCCCTAGGCCTTCACCATCGCCTTCGCCTTCGCCTTCGACTTCGACTTCGACTTCGATATCGACGTTGACCTTCGCTCTCGATCTCCTCTTCTCTCTCTGTCTTCATCTCTCTTGATCTCCTCTTCTCTCGTTGTCGTCATCGTCTTCTCTCTCTCTCTCTCTCTCTCTCTCTTCGATTTGTGTTCTGGAGAGTCCACTCCCGTTTTTAACATATACTAAATTTAATAAATAATATAATTGTTATATAATAATAAATCTAATTAAATTATATATAATAAAAAAAATCTAATAAAATCTATAAAATAAATCATTCAATTTTTATTATTTATTTATTTTAACATATTTTATTATTCCTTATTTTTTATATTTTTTATTTATAATATATATCAATTAAAAAAAAAATTATATAAATAAATTAAAAATATTATCAATAAAAATAATACCTAAGATAAAAATAATAAATATATTTAAAAAATAACTATTAATATATATATATATAATACTGCTCTCCGAGGTGCTCCCAACTTAAGAAACTTTTATCGGCTCACGCTTCCTCTCTCCTGCTCCCGCTCCCGCTCCCGCTCCCGCTTTGTGCAACTTACCTCACAAACATTACATCTAATTACAAAAAAAAATTCAATCATCTTCCCAAATACAAAAATTTTAACCTACTAAAATAGTCAAAAACTAAAATAGCAACTTTCCAAACACGCACAATATGTGCTAAAAAATTAAGTAACTAGTTATTTAGTTATAAGTTTTAATTCAAAGGCCAAATGTAGGTAACGGTTTAGGGTTTATGATAGCACAACAGGAAGGATTCTGATGATGAAATTGGGGTTTGTGAACATTATATAGGGTTTTTTGGTTTTTTTTTTTGGTAGACATGGAGGAAAATGAAGAAGAGGAATGTAATGGGATTCACCTTTGCAAGGGTTGAGTTACTATTGCAAGGGTTAAGTTACTACTACATCATATAAACCATAATTCTTTTCCTATTGAAATGAATAATAATATTTTTCAAGTTTTCATTGAGAGAAAATTATTGAGGAATCAAGGACATCGTTCCTTACATATGTTGAAATGAAGTCATGATGATGTAACTTGCATTAAGTAAAAAATAAAAATAGAAAGTCTGAAGTGAATTTTACTTTTATAGACTTGATGATTGTCAAGAGATTAAGTTTCTTCAACGTTGCAATGTTATAGGTAAAATTCCAGATATTGAATTGCTTTGTTCTTTTGTGAATATATTTATATTTTTCCATCATGCTGATTCTAGTTCCTTCTCAGTTGTGAGGGTTCGGTTTTTGATCCACTGGGTATAGATTCAGATAACTCATTGGGTCTAAGTGATTCTCCTTGGGAAAGTGTCCTAAGCTTTCTTTCACAAAAATTTGAAAGTACTTCAAGTACAAGAAAGGAGAAACCTTCTTCAGCTAGAGGAGTGGCAGGTTTGTTCTTTACCTTGTTTATTTTACGTTTTGTTTGTTTAGATGGGAAATGTGTATTTTTTTTGTATTTGGTACGACAAAAGACGAAGGTTAAATGGAAAACAATTTCCATGGACGACAAAAACTAGCTTGTATGAGCAAAAAATGTTTTCCAATTTTCAAAGGTGGAAAATGTTTTCTAGACTAAAGCCTTACCACCACCACCACCACCTATGTTATATGGACTTAGGTACCACCATCACCTATGTTATATGGACTTAGGTACGAATTTCAAGTTTGTGTGAGTGTCCAAGCTTCATACCTTCATAAACCTTAATCTTAGAATATTGGAACATGCTTCCAAAAGTTGATATGAACATGGGGACGTATCGTGGACATTTGGAGATGTCATAAATTATGTAGAAATGTACTTGAAATAAATAGGATTTAGGAAAAATATGAAATTATCTCTCATTCATGTGAGAGACCAGAAATGTTTCTTTTCTTTTAAATGTTAGTTAACTTCTTCTTCAAACATTGTAAAAATTTAAGTGTCTAAATTGGGTACAGGTGTCGAATACGTATCCCGCACCCTTACTCTTGTCATATCTAGTAAACACGGGTACTTTAGGAGAAATAGAAAGTCCATATAACACAGGCCATCACCAATACCACCACCTGACCATTTCCACCACCACCAACAATACAAAACCACCACTAGTACCACCACATAATAACAACCGCAGCCACTGCCACTGCTATTGCTACTGCAACCACCACTAGCCACCTAAGTGGGATATGCGATACGATAGAGACACGCCGTCACTGTGATTTTAAAAAATTGCAAGACATGATACATTTTGGACACGTTAAAAATTTACATTTTTATATATTTATTGTATATCAAATGTATGCATAGTTTATTCAAAAGTAATGGAAAAGCAACATAAAACTAATTAAACCTTAAAAGCCATAAATTCTATAATTTAAATACCAAGATATTATTCACGTACCAATTGCATTTTAACGAATACAAAATAATTGTATGACATTGAAATGCACGTGATATATTCATCTTATAAATGTTTCAAAACATATTTAGAGTGCACAAGTTAGATTTTGAAGGATGAAAAATATTGTTAATATGAAGAGACTCGTCACATAGGTCGTGTTCGGAGAGCTCAAAACATGTTGTTGAAGTGGCCGATATTATGAATTTAAAATTTTAGTTAAGACACATTGAAGTAAGTGTTGGACACACTTTTAGGAGTGTCAGTAGAGTGTTGTGTTCGACACAACATTCCTCTTCCATAGAACTGTCCGTGCTTCTTAGCCGTCAGTAGAGGGTTGTGTTCGACACAACATGCCTCTTCCATAGTACTGTCCGTGCTTCTTAGCCAGCCACCCTTCCACCGCACCACCCCCACCACCACCTTATCACCACTACCACTAACATTGCCACCATTATGCAACCACCGCTGCCCCACCACCATCACAACCACAAGCACATTAGAGTCGTAACCAAACATAAGAAAATATTTTTAATAAGGAAACATTTTCCCGAAAATGTTTTTTGCCAAAAAAATAAAATAAAATGCAGCTTTAATTCAAATCATAGTTGTTAAGTAGTTAAAGGCTCAAGGTGCGTAAAGGGGCTAGGTCTCTTGTTGCCTAAGCACAAGGTGGAACATAATCATGAACAGTAAGTTGCATGTGCGATAAGATAAGCATGCATATTGAATAGAATTACTATTGAAAGAAATTTATAATATGTAAAACAGATACAAAATGTGTGTGTGTGTTTTTTTTTTGACATCAACCAAGAGAGATAAATTGATATACATGCATATGTTTTAAATTGGTACATGCATTAACAAAAAAGCTAGTTGTAACTGTGTAAGTATATATTATATAATTCTAAATGCTAAGAATTACGCACTAGAGAGATCTAGTTCTTCAAGTGAGCATCTTCATATTGTAAATAATAATTGCGGATTTTAGCCTTTGACTAGGATACTTCTACTTTGCCAGCTGCAATTGAAGATACTTCCATCGATTTTGGGGACTTCTTCAAAGGACCATTGCCAGGAAAATTTCTCAAGCTCTTGGGGTATTTGGCCCTTTCCCGACTGGGAATATATGTACCTCTCGGTGGAGTAAATCGTGAGGCTTTTGTTGGCAATCTAGACCAGAACAGTTTACTGAGCACTTTAGATTCATTCTCTGGAGGAGGCATTGGTCGACTTGGAATATGCTCCCTTGGTATTGTTCCCTTTATCAATGCACAAATTGTGTTTCAGCTTCTCACCCAGATCTACCCCAAGTTGCAAGAACTTCAGAAAAGAGAAGGTGAAGCAGGAAGAAAGAAAATTCTTCAGTATACTCGATATGCTTCAGTTGGATTTGCTATAGTACAGGTAAGGAACTTCATATTTTTGTGAACTGTTATGCCAACTTGTGAATAGATATTATTTTTTTATTACTATGTAGGCTTCTTCTTCTTCTTTTTTTTTTTTTTTTTTTTTTTTTTTTTTTTTTTGTTTTTTTTGTTTTTTTGTTAAACTTGTGGTACCAAAATGAGGAAAAGTGATTATAGTTGCTTTGAAGAACCAAAAAATGTTTTGTTTATCATTCTGAGTATTAGAAATTACTTCAACATTCAAGTAAAGGACAAATTATGTGCAAGTAATTTGGAAGGAAGGTGGGAGTTTTTCTTTTCAATTTCTACAAAGTCAAAATACCCCTAGTACCACGAAAGAAAAATAAAATAATAAACTTATGCCCCCGATAGTTAATTGAGCAAAATTAAGTATTGGTAATATAAATTTACTTAACAATAAAATAAAATAATAAGGTTGCAACCAAATAATGATAAATTGCTAAAAGCATCCTATTGCCTTCAACTTCTTTTCTGCATTTCAAACTTTGAGAAACAAATTCATTGATTAAAAGCCTATAACCCTACTTGGATTAAAAAAAGGAAATAGTTATTTTGCCTGCGAGTCATATGACTGACTTGGTCCAGTCCAGCAACAAAAATCTACCAACCCTTGTCCAATGTTCTTATGTAAAAGTTTTCCTTAATGAGTAAAAATTGTCATTATTCTTTAATCTTATTAGTCACTTGTATAAAAGAATAATGATTAGGGCTTTCTTGGCCAAAAGTTCTTAATTCTGGATGGAAGTGAACTTTGGGTGTTTTGAATTTGTCCCGATTTAGGCTTTAATTTCTGTGTAAATTAGTTATTGAATTTTGTTGGCTATACTGGAGTTTAGATATATGACCAACCACTAAGGTCACACAAATGTGTTTGGATGGATGATAGGCCATGAGTCCTAAGTATTTTGGCGTCTATTTTGATGTTTCTTGTTAATAAATTTTCCACAATATGCTTTTAATTTTTTATATGTCATGACTTTAGCAATGCTTTTAATCTTCTTTTGTATATTCTTAATTTTTACGGCAGGCAATTGGCCAAGTACTCTACCTTCGCCCTTATGTCGATGATTTCAGTACACAGTGGGTTCTAGCTTCTGTTACTTTATTAACCCTTGGATCCGTGCTTACAACTTACATTGGTGAACGGATTTCTGAGCTAAAACTTGGAAATGGTACATCTCTTTTGATCTTCACGAGCATCATATCCTACTTGCCGGCATCTTTTGGTAGGACTGTTGCAGAGGCATTTCAGGATGGCAACTACATTGGACTTGTCGCTATCATTTTCTCCTTTTTCTTGTTGGTGCTTAGTATTGTGTACGTTCAGGTAAATGCCGGTTATTTTTGTGAATTAGAATTGGATTAGTTGAAGCATAGAACTGTTGACAATGTTCTTAACAAAGGGTTTCAGGAAGCAGAGAGGAAAATCCCAATTAATTATGCCTCACGATACACTAGCAGAACTGGAGGGCTCCAGAAATCTGCTTACCTACCCTTTAAGGTTTGTAATCAAGTTCCATACTATGTTTTAGTAAGTGTTACTGATTGGAAATGATTATAATTTTCTTCTTAGAAGCAATCTACATGTGTTACTTAACAAATTTTTTTATTTAATTTTTTGTAAAATGACTACTCTTGCAACATACTGATTTCATCTCTTTGGCAATGTTTTTCTGATTCACCTGCTATTCACTTCATATTGTTTTGCTTATGTGAATTGTCATGCATGGAAATCTTTTGTTAATGTTTTGCATTTATAGTATTGTCTTCTTGGACTGGGGTTATTTGTGATGTTTTTGAACTTTAGTCTTATGCCATACTTATGATCTCATTTCGTTTTAATTGAGCAGGTCAATAGTTCAGGAGTGATGCCAATTATCTTTTCTACATCATCGTTAGCACTTCCAGGCACTTTAGCACGCTTCACTGGTTTAGCTGCTCTGAAAAAGGCTGCAGTGGCTTTAAACCCGGGGGGTAAGAACAATTGCTGTAGTGCCTTCATCGATGGAAGTTGAGATATTCCAGTGACAGTTAAATTTGAACTATTCTAGCAATATATTCCTTGTGCATTTAAAACTCACCTCTAAAACTGAGTCTCAGCAGGCTGCAGTGGCATTCCCTTTCGATTTAGATGAAACATTTGAAATATTCTAAATCTGACCAGATAAATTCTTTGTAGGTTCTCTCTATCTCCCCACAAACATTCTATTGATAGCCTTCTTCAACTACTACTACACTTTTCTACAGCTGGATCCCGATGATGTGAGTGAACAGTTGAAGCGCCAAGGTGCGTCAATCCCACTTGTTCGACCCGGTAAAAGTACGGCTGCATTTATTAAAACGGTAATTTCCTGTCTACTCGAATATATGGCCTATCATTTATTTTTGTTCCAGCTTGTACATTTAGTCAGCTTCATCCTGCTTTAGCCATACATTATTTGGTTCTAGCTTTATCACAAATCAGTCTAAGACATTTCAGTAAGCCATGGGCATCAGCTTCTCTAGTGTTCACTCGCAGCCACTTTCCCCGTGAGAGTCTAAATTTCTCTTGTAGAAAGAACATTCATGCCAAATTATTTTCATATGCTTAACTTTTGAAAATTCAAAAAATATCAATTTTTGTCAAAATAATTTACTTTTTCAACCAAAAAAAAAAAAAAAAGTTTTAATTCAATAGAAAAATTTCTCCCTTTTTTATTTTTTATTACTCCCTTACCCATCTATTTTGATGTGGTGTTTGGATGTCATATGGAAATTGAATGAATTTTGTCTCTTTTGGAGGACTTCATTTGAGTCCAGTTTTGTTTTTATTGCATTAAACCGGGTGTTTCTTTTTTCCCAACTAGCATGAAATTGGGTACTTTGCATTTTTTCAGATTACCTTTTAATTTAGACCCTTTGCTTTGCCTGGCTGATATTGTGGGTCAATGCTATGTAACAAAACAGACTACTGTAAATTCCAAGCGATACATGAACAACCTAATACATTCTGCTTCTTCAGGATACAAATCCGTAATTCGTAACTTAGTGCCCACTTTCTTTTGTGATTTACTCATTGAGGAGTATGGAATAGATTTTGTGGAAATATTTTGGTTCCTTGTTTGCTCTTTTCTTCTGTATTCATACAGCTGATGAGTATTTATACTTGATTGATATCTGAACTTTTGGCACAAATTTAGCTTCAAAATAATTTGGACAGATTTGTGACCTATTTATGGTTGAATTCAGATTCTTAGTCGGATATCAGTCCTGGGATCTGCATTTTTGGCAATTCTGGCTGCTGGTCCTGCTGTGATTGAACAAACTACACACCTGACTGCATTCCGGGGATTTGCAGGCACTTCAGTTCTCATTCTTGTTGGTTGTGCTACTGACACGGCAAGAAAAGTTCAAGCAGAAATAATATCCCAGAAGTACAAGAACATAGAGTTTTATGACATCGACAAGTATAACCAGTATTGAGGAAAAACAGATTAGAGGCTGGAGTGGATAAAATCTTATAGAATGAAACTTTATGCTTTAGTTTTCTCTTGAATCGTGTAGTGTTGACTACCATATGTATTTTACGTTTTTGGTTTACAGTTTGATTCTGACTTACAAATTGTACAAAAGGTTACATGGCTGCAATTTTCCATGGTGTTTGGCTAATGGAAAATCATATTCTTCTTGTTGTAACTCTGATTTGTAGTTGTGAAGAGTGATCAAAATGGGACTGGATGGTTGAAAACACTTAAACAGAATAGAAAGCAATGGGCGGAATGTTATTTGGGTCGATGAAAAATGAAAGGATGGAATTGGGGATTTAGATTTTAGAGTTTAAAAGATGCAGAGAATTGCCAATTATAGTGGTATTGGGAGAGTTAAAAGGGTAACTACATTTTTTTTTGAATACCACGCGATATCTATGTCTCCAGACGTGGCTAAGCCAATGGTTTCAGTGCAGCTGCAATCTAATGTGCTGCCAGAACAGAATCGTGGATTACTTCCTTTATTATATGCTCTTCCCTTGAATAGTATGTATTTTTCTCCCTTTCAGAATCTAAAGCTGTTCACTGTAGTTGAAAGGGATGTCATAAAATTTATGGACAAAGCACTAGAAATAAATCATGATGTTAAAATTATCAAATATTTGTTTCAAGTGACCTGTGAATGTATACCTATTTTCTGTACAATGCTATCTTTCTCACTAGCACTGTACTACTCCTATACTCCTGCCCAACTGAATAAAAACTAGACTACAGATCAAGTGAATGCTGACCCATATACCTATACTGTACCTGCCACAAATCAACTATTTCATAGAAAGAAACCCTTCAAATGCGACCTTAGGGAGCTGTCTAGATGCTACTGCAAGGCCTTGAAGCATTTTGATGACTTCACAAGTATTGTCAAGATAGTATTTTACCATACTTGGTGTCTGACCAACTGTGCAGGGGAAAACTTCTGTTATTATGGCAGGCAACAACTGGTTGGCAACAGACCTTGCAATGGTCTTGAACATATCTTCACCTGAACGGTCATCTCCTACGCACAACACAAAATCTGGCTGCTTCCCACTTTTCCGCATGGTTGCAACGAGCCTTTCCACAGCTACTCCTTCGCTTACGCACAGCAATTCACAAATTGCAATGAAAAATAAATCATCCACCAAACGATCAGGAAATACACCCCACATCATTTACTCAAACTACTATACCCAATCATGAAAAATCAAATTATTTCATTATCTACACTACTCTATTTGGAAATCTTTCATTTCATCATTCCATTGAAAATCAAATTCTCATATCCGCCAGGGAAAAGAGGAAAAAGTATTATGCACTTTCATAAAGTTAAAATTTTATTGTTTTTCTGATAAGTTGACATTATTTATGAGACATGTTTATTGGTTAGGAAAGGAAACTACTAGCAGACAAATTAATCATGCATGTTACGTGTTGTTTCACTTCAACAATGTGTTGACCTCTTTTAACAACCACAGGCTCATTAGCAAGAACACTCTCAAGGTGATCAAGCTCTTTTCCCTTCCATGAGACGAAGTCAGGGTCAGCATCTTGATGGTGCCATACAAGAGCACTTCCCTTCTCTACAAATGAGCCATCTGTAGCCTTTGTATAACGCTCCATTACAGGATGTGCAGTTTTTTTACAGTCAAAATCCGTTGGCAACACGCTGGGCTTCCATAGAGAATCCCTACAACACCTTCATGAGATACGAAAATGAGATTAAAACCAAGACAGACAAAAATTACAATTGATTGAATTTTTGAACCAAATGTTACCTAGTGAAGTAGTCATGTTCTGCTGATAGATTGAGTTTTTCACATGGCGAAAACCACTTGCTTAGAGAAACCTTTCCTCTGCCCCTGACAATGAAAACAATGTTCTTGGGATCATTGGATAATCCATTTTAGTACTTTATCATCAAATCAATCAATGTATGACTAACTATTCTAAGGTATCGTATCTTATGTGGAACCCCAACGTTTTTCTACTTGTTGGACCATTCCACATATCAGGAATAGCAAGAATTTTTTGAAACTATCAGTTTCTTATCCAGTGCCATAATAAATCGATGATGCCCAAAATAGTGCAGCTCCTTGAGCCATCCTAAAGCAAAGATAGGCAAATTCATTGACAATGTGGCATTTATCTCCTGGACAGAAACAGTTTTTATCTTATTTTATTTTTTATTATTATTTAAATTCAGGATATCTGCTGAGAACTAAATGACAAAACGAATTTTGTCCTGAAAAAATGCCCTACTTATGTTAGTTACCTGTTCCCAGTGATATGTGAATTGCAACTGATGAATTGTTTCATTTCCACAAGATTTTTGGAAATACTACTTTTTGAGCAGCAACAACAACAAAATTTTTATTGAGAAAAATTACTATTAACCACTGACTCTCTTCGTGTTAGAAGAAAAATTATTGAATGCCCTTTAAACATTGCTCCACATCCGGCATCAATTAATAATATTTTTCAAGGCATCAGTATAAAATAAAAGTGACATGGGTAAGCCCATAAAGGATATGGCTCACCCCTTAAGGCCCAATCCATGATTCAAATAATAAAGCCCAACATCCCTAAAACCTAACGTTACGCCAAGTACTAATGACATCTAAACACTTGGCAAGTAAAGGGCCAGCCACATTAGTAGACAAAGATCTTGCAGAGTTATTGCACCACACATCAGCTATTAATGAGCTTCCCTGCTGCATTTATTACGATAACCCTTCAAGTCGGAACATAACAGCCTCACCATGAACAAGGCAAACTGGAACATAGACTTTCGGCCAACGTGACAGCCCAGAGTGGACAAGGAATGATGAGCAAAGGATATAAGCAAGCTCCTAAGACGAAGAAACGGTTAAGTTTTCTATCTCCATCCACTCTCCATATCTCCATCCCTCTCACCTCTTTAACTTGCTCGTCGGAGGGTTCGTTGGGAGACTCCCCGTTCCTCATTGAACTCCTTTGCAGGCTTTTCGGTGGGCCCAACAATCAAATAACGGCTTGAGAAGCGTGGACCAATCTGACCCATTCCATCTGTGGTTAGCAGCATCATCAGTTGGCGCCATCCGTGGGAACCCTTTTTGCTCTGTGCGGCAACTGTGCTCATTGTCGCCGGTGACCCATTCTTGATAATCCCTACCTGCCACCCACCAAGGTGGATGTTCACAACTAGATCCATGGCTTCTCAACACAACGTTGCCGATCCCCAAGCCAACCCTCCTAACCCAAACAACCCACCGCAGTATTTCACAGAACTCACCAACAGCATTAACCGCCTAGCCGAGCAAAACCAAGCCCTGATCAATGCTTTGCTTCAAAGAGACCTTTCCATAACTCCTCTACCACCTCAAGACATCCCACCTAACCAAGAACGAACCCCGAGCCATCCCATCCAACAATCCCACCCATCCA